CTATGGGAGGGAAAGTGCACTATGGGACAATGGGAGGGGGGACACTATGGGATCAGAACACTAATGGACAAGGGGAGGAGGGGTTAAAGAACACTATGGGACAGGGTAGGAGAGGTTAACAATCACTATGGGACAGGGTAGGAGGGGTTAACAATCACTATGGGACAGAGGAAAGGGGGGTTAAAGATCATTATGGGACAGGGGAGAAAAAAATATTCTGAACAAACTGTCCCATGGTAAGAAACACTATGGAACAGTTTGTTCAGAATATTTTTTTTTCTGGGTTTCCTCCTCTAAAAACTAGGTGCGTCTTATGGTGAGGTGCGTCTTATGGAGCGAAAAATACGGTACTCCCTTTGCACCCAGGGGAACGGCACTAAGGGCGACGGACCAGCAAACCTGAGATGAGCGGACACTCACCCCTACAACTTTATATAATGTACTTTGTCGGGGAGATTACAACTCCCAGTTCAAGGCCTCTTAGGCCCATTATTTACACCAGTTTATATGCATGTATGCATGATTTCTCGTTACGTTGATACTCACTCCAACATTCATAATCACATTAGCTAGACACTCACAGCTCAGATTAAGGGATTCCAACTCCACCCTGGCTCCGTAAGCTGACTGCCCAAGACATGTCCTACGCAAGTACCTCCTCTCCCCCACCCTTACGAAGACAGAGTAGGGTCTTAATAACAACTAGTCTATACCTTCATACCAAGGGGTAAGCGACCCACCTGGAAAACTCCGACCGACCTAAGGGCCCACACAAGGGCAGGAGCATTCACAGGCCATACCGATTACACTTCCCCAACCCCCTACCATACTTGCCCCAGGCAAGGCACGACACCCTGAACCAATCTGCAGGGCACACTAAGCTTAACGCCCAAACCCTCCCAGACATATTGCTGTATTTCTTCTATACAGACAAGAGGAGGATTAGCCTGACTCACAAAACAAAAATGGGTAGACGACGCACATGTGCGACTTTATAACATGTAATGATGATCTAGTATGTAAAATGTTACACTTTATCTCTCTGAGCACATGCTGTAATTGATTATCTTGACTTGCAAACCCACAAAAATAAAGAATTAAAAAAAAAAAAGGCCTGAACTGGTATCATTTTTTGGGGGTATTTATCTTTCTAATCTCTCTCTTTTGCTAACGTCTCCCACTTCTTCTTCCTCTAAACTTAAAATCCTTTTTTTGGGATCGTGAGGGGTGTGGTGTCCTCTAAACTTAAAATCCTTTTTTGGGATCGTGGTACTGGAAATACCTCTGATTGCTGCAGAGTTGTGACCATAGTTACTCAAAAGCTTTGGCAATACGATCTTCGCAGGAGGCCTTTGTGCGAGCAGTTTCTGTACTGCAGGCTTCCTGCCGGAGGCCTTTTTGGAGCACACGGTGCAGGAAGTCAGCTTTGCCGGCCCTGTCTGTGCTTACAGCCGTGAGTAGGTCAGCACTCAAGTGGGGAACGGGATACCCTCACCGGTCCAGAGGGGGGGTAACAGGGCTGCAAAGAGGCTTCAGCCACATGCGGTCACCGGGCTGGGAGATCATTCACTTTCCCCAGTCACCGGGCACACTAGGCGTCAGATTCAAGTCGAGGTAAGAACCTGTTGGACCAGAATGATTAAGGCTGAAAATGTTGCAAGCTGCCACACTGTCGGTCTGCAACTGCAATAGGGTGATCTCTGCTTTTCTTAGAGGTGATATAACCTTAGTTTCAAGTTTGGAGAGCTAGAGCTAAGAGAAAGCAAGTCCAGTCATCTTGACTCAGGTCCCGCTCCCACCTGTAAGTGGTTTTAATGTTTTGGCTGATCAGTGTAAAGTCACAGTTTTTTTTCTCCTAATCCTGCAACTGGATTTCAATTTGCAGATTAGTGAATGAACCCCAAAGTATAGATAGTTTTGTAGGTAGTAGGTCATTAATTAACAACTAGTCACATTGCATATTCAGTGATAAAGTGGATTTTGTTTGTGAGGGCAAGGGTTCATTTTTAAAAGAAAAATATATTTGTTATATCCTACTTCATTAACAGGGGACTTTTTTAATTAATATTATTCTTTTACAATTAATTAATTTTTCTAATTAATATTTTTATACAACTTCCACACAATTTTCCTGAGCATGAAAAAAAATAATTGACGTTTCCGCTCCCCTAAGGAGCTTTCATCAGGACACAAAACATCATAAAACTGATATCAGCTTATATAGGACATACAATTGAGTGAAATAAGTACTCACTGACAGGTGATCTGCATTGCCATCTATCGCCAGACCCGCCGTGATTGCCTGCTCGTTTGTTGAGACTTTCGGATTGGAGGTCACCTGACCGCATAATGTAATAAATGAATATCTCCCTTTGGCCTAACAAAACATGTTGCTAGGGCAACCTTCATCTCATTGGTTGCGCTTGCATGTACGGATGCCGATTGGGGAAAAAATAAACAAACACTGTTAAGTCAGGATATCAGACAAACCGAGCGCTGTGATGGCAACCAAAGTGCGTCCTTGCAATAAATATGGGGAAATGCAGACGGAAACAAATAGCATGTGTGGGCCACAAAGTTAAACACAAAATAATACAAAATGTGTCTCTTTATATCATAGTTAAAATCTGTAACAGACTATAGTTGTGTAGTGTGAGTTTTGATATAAATTATCCTTTACTAAATCAGTGCTAAAATTCAACATATATAAAGAAAAAGTCTATTAAAGAGTGCAATGAATACAGAATATCTAAAATAATGAATGTGTAAAGAATGTGATATGTGATAAGAATAAAAATAGGGATCTCTATCTTGTAAATATGTATGTGACCAAAAGTATGAGATATGTGTGCTTTGTGTAAAAAATAAACATATAGTGGTCCCATGTCATGGAATTGATTTACTTGACAGTAATTACTACATATATACAAAAATATTAAAATGTTGTTATAAAACCATTAAAAATCTGTAGAGGATGGGCCGAGAGACTATATGGCAATATCAGACAGGAATATCAAAAGGAAAATTATAAATAAGACACTTATACAAGGTTTGCAAATATTGAAGCTGAATCTTACAGAGGGAGAATCCCTACAAAGAGGCTATGAATGAGCACTTTTCATTCAGGCCCCTGGGTGACAGGGTTCCCAACTGGCAAATCCAGTAGGTCTCTCTTTTTAATAAGAGTTTCCCTCTGTCTCCTCCACGGCCCGGAATAGGATTTTGACTTTGTATATCTTGCCAGTATATGGGTGTGTGAAGGTTTTGGAAGGGATTAGATGACCACACGTCACGCATCCCAAACACCTCACACACCCCAAGTTTGTGTTTTCTTTCTGGACTGGACTATAACAGTGTCGTGGGTCAGTCTGAACCAGTAGATCCTTCAAAATCTTGTTACGGCGGTAACAGATCATAAGTTTTTGACGGAAAATCTCAGGAAGAGATGGATCTGATGACAATGTATTCCAGTTCTTGCGAATTGTAGATGTCAGCTCGGGGTTTGCTGTGTTAAAAAGCATTGGGAACGTACTTCTGATGTTGGCCGGTTTCTGAAGGACAGAAAGAGAGGGTGCAAAGGTAGTTCTTGCTCTACTTAAAGCTTTATCCAAGGTCCACCGAGGATATCCTCTTGATCGAAATGTCTCATACATAAGCTGTAGCTGTTGGTCTCTGAGAAGCGAATTGTTCTGTAAAACTCGTAGAAATTGTGAATAAGGTAATGCCTGTTTGAGATGTTGGGGGTGAAAGCTCTTAAAATGAAGTAAGGTGTTGCAGTCCGTGGATTTAGTATACAATTTATATTCAATTTTCTGATCAATGATCATGATCTCTATGTCCAAAAATTGTATGCTGTGTTCATTAATAGTCGAAGTTAATCTCATCTGAGTTGGCAAATCGTTCAAATCATGTACAAATTGAACAGCCTCTTCATGTACAAATTGAACAGCCTCTTCTTTAGAGCCCACCCATAAAATTAGAATATCATTGATAAATCTGAAGTAGCGAATGATTTGCTGAGTGTAGTTTTGAAGAATGAACTTGGTTTCGGATTCATACATGAAAGCATTCGCATACATGGGGGCCATGGCTGCCCCCCATCGAAGTTCCTGCTACCTGTTTCAAAACAGTAGTTTTGAAGAATGAACTTGGTTTCGTATTCATACATGAAAGCATTCGCATACATGGGGGCTATGGCCGCCCCCATCGAAGTTCCTGCTACCTGTTTCAAAATAGAAGTAGTTATTTTCTAATGTGATACCTAGTAATTCTAGAACATATTCGATCGAAGGACCGTGATATTGTTCTGAAGTAGAGAGAAGATTTCGCATTGCTTGAATCCCTGCTTGATGAGGGATGATCGCATATAAACTTCCCACATCCATGGTGATGAGAATTCCTTCAAAATTACCACCTGATTGAGATGTTGTAAGAGGTCAGGGGTATCTTTAATACAGGTTGCCAATGAGGTTACTGGATCTTTAAACAAGTAATCGAGATACTTTGCTATTGGTTCGAGAATTCCTTAAGTTGCCGATACAACAGGGCGCCCGGGTGGATGTTCAAGACATTTATGGATCTTCGGAAGTGTATATAAGATAGGGGTACGAGGATGTTTTGTTTGAAGATATTGGGACAGTTCCAAACTTAAATGGCCTGCCTGTAGGCCAAAAGTTAGCACCACTTCAATTTTCTTAGCAATTGAACTAGTAGGGTCACTGTTCAATCGCCGATAAGTTTTTGTATCACTCAGTTGATGTCTGATTTCAGCTGCATAAGTGTCATATTTAAGAATCACAATGCCACCTCCTTTGTCCGCTGATCGAATTACAATTGTTGGATCTTTTGCCAAATTTTTAATCAAGGCATGGTCATCTCTGGAGAGACTGGAATGCTTAGGACGATGTTGGTGTAGGATGGCATCTGACTCCCATTTAGTTGAAGAAAGAAAAAATTTGATGGATGCCTGATGTGCAGGAGGATCAAAGGAACTGGGCGTCTTACATTGATGTATAGTTCTTGATGTAGACGGAATTGAGGGGAGGGGTGTAGAATTTCTAAAGAAATCTTTCAGTCTGATAGAGCGACCAAATTTAAACAGGTCAACCTCCCATTGAAATTGATTAGGGGCGGAAGTTGGAATGAAGGAAAGCCCTTACTCAATACATGGATCTCTGGGGTTGTTAGCACTCATTGGGATAAATTGAACACGGGTATTATTTGCGTATTGGAGGCTTTCCCTTGAGACCAATGGTGTCTTCCCTTTTGTCCTCTTCTAGTGTGAAATCTTTTCCGTGCTTGAATTTGCTCCGTGTGACTGTCATGGATTGTGAGGTCCTGTTTTGTTCCATGTCTTTGTCTAAAAAAGATGAAGATGTTTGGGCTCGAGACTGAGTATTCTCCCCTTCTGACGCCGATTCCCCTGATGTCACATCAATAGTGGCAATCTTGGGTTTTATAATTCTTTTACGGAACCTCCTCGGTCTTCGTTTGTGCTCTCCTGACAGCTATCTGTAGACGGACGATTCCTGGTAATCAAGTTGTACCATTTCCATTTTTTGTCGTTTAAATTTAATAAGTTGGTTTTTATACTTAAGAACTTCCTCACTGAGTTTCAGTAAGGTTTCTGTACCCTCCCGTGTGTTTAATTGTAGAGCATATCCTGGTTCAACAATTTGGATTTTCTTCCTGATTTCTATCAAATCTTCTTTAACAACCTGGATGGTTACAAGCATAAGATCCAGGGAGCACTTATTGAGTACTGCCGTCCAGTCCCTACATACTCTTGCCTTCATTCTTCCAATAGTAGGAATATTTCTTACTCTGAAACCACGTGGGATCTGTTTCGCTCTATGGTAATCTGATAAAAAGGTACCGTGTAAATCAACGTCTACTTCCTTTTTCTTCATCTTCAAGAGTTTAAAATAGACATCTGTAGTGTGGGGGTGGTAGGGAATTCCAAACTGGTAGTATTCCACAATATCTCATCTGCCTGAGCATCACTAAATTGCAGTGTATTCACCTGTGAAGCCCCTGCACCAGATTGTGCCAAAAAATCATCCATTCTCTCCATAAAAATTTTTTTACAGAGAGGAAGATGTAACCAACAGAGCACAGCCTTCATTCAATATCAAAATGTGCACAAATTATTAAAAAATAACTTTTAATAATATGCATTAAAAAAATTGTACTGTGACTTTAAATAATCAAAAAAATATAAAAACAATGTAATTGCAGCAGAAAAATATCTTCAGCGCAAAAAATACAAAACCTTCACACACCCATATACTGGCAAGATATAGAAAAGCGTATTCACTGTCGGACTGATTTTGTTATCTATAAACTAACGTGCCCATGTGGTCTCAACTACATAGGCAAAACAGAGACAGCTCTCTGTGAAAGAATAAGAGGCCACAGGTCTAGTATTCGACTTGCCTATCATAATGGCAAGTTGGACAAGCCAGTAGCCAGACATTTTTTGGAACTTCGTCATCAACTTACTTCATTAAGATGTGTTGCTATTGAGCATGTTCCTATTCCGGCCCATGGAGGAGACTAGGGAAACTCTTATTACAAAGAGAGACCTACTGGATTTGCCAGTTGGGAACCCCGTCACCCAGGGGCATGAATAAAAAGTGCTCATTCATAGCCTTTTTGTAGGGATTCTCACTCTGTAAGATTCAGCTTCAATATTTGCAAACCTCGTATAGGTGTCTTATTTATAATTTTCCTTTTGATATTCCTGTCTGATATTGCCATATAGTCTCTCTACATATGTGCAATTATTCTTATTTATAGAATATTTTTTGTTCATACATTTTTTTTTTTTACTGTTGATTATTCATTTTTAATGGTTTTATAACAACACTTTAATATTTTTGTATATATGTAGTAATTACTGTCAAGTAAATCAATTCCATGGCATGGGGCCACTATATGTTTATTTTTTACACAAAGCACACATATCTCATACTTTTGGTCACATACATATTTACAAGATAGAGATCCCTATTTTTATTCTTATCACATATCACATTCTTTACACATTCATTATTTTAGATATTCTGTATTCATTGCACTCTTTAATAGACTTTTTCTTTATATATGTTGAATTTTAGCACTGATTTAGTAAAGGATAATTTATATCAAAACTCACACTACACAACTATAGTCTGTTACAGATTTTAACTATGATATAAAGAGACACATTTTGTATTATTTTGTGTTTTTGTTTCTTTTTAACTTTGTGGCCCACACATGCTATTTGTTTCCGTCTGCATTTCCCCATATTTATTGCAAGGACACACTTTGGTTGCCATCACAACGCTTGGTTTGTCTGATATCCTGACTTAACAGTGTTTGTTTATTTTTCCCCCGATCGGCATCCGTACATGCAGGCGCAACCAATGAGACGAAGGCGTCTATGGTTGCCCTAGCAACATATTTTGTTAGGCCAAAGGGAGATATTCATTTATTTCATTATGCGGTCAGGTGACCTCCAATCCGGAAGTCTCAGCAAACGAGCAGGCAATCACGGCGGGTCTGGCGATCGATGGCAATGCAGATCACCTGTCAGTAAGTACTTATTTCACTCAATTGTATGTCCTATATAAGCTGATATCAGTTTTATGAGGTTTTGTGTCCTGATGAAAGCCCGTTAGGGGAGCTGAAATGTCGATTATTTTTTTTTCTTAAATAAAAGAAGAACTTTTGAATGATAAATCCTTGGAGTGCCGGTATCTTTCCTCATTTATGTTCCAGCAACCAGAGCACCAGGTACTTTGGATTTTTTGGTTGGAGTGCAGGGGTTTTTCACCTTTACATATATATGCAATTCAGAAGTACTGAAAAATAAAAAAAAATATCGCTGATAAATGTGAAGGCTTGGCCTGCAGTTGTGGGAGGGGCATGGTCCCCTATTTAAGCCCACTACTCACCTCCACCTGTCCCGTTCGTTCCTTAGCGTTGCTTGACGATGCTGGTTCTGGTCACCTTTCCTCTTCACTCCTTCCTGCTTTTCGTGGTTTTCGTCCACCGCTGTGATTCCTGCAGGGTCTCGTTCCAGCTCCTCTCCTGTTGCCTCAAGCACAGCCGCACGTCTTCTCGGCTCCACGGTGCCGTAAGTTACTTACCATGCCTTCGCACCATGGTCGCATTGCGTCAGCGTCCTCGTGGTATGGGTCTGTCCCCTGCTCTGTTTTTGTTCACTGGCTTCTTTCCATGTGCTTTCGCTTGTTTTTTTTCCCGAACGGGTCTCGCCGTTTCGGAAGTTCTTCTCCTTTTCGCATTTTTCCACTTGTTTTTCGTGCCTGTTGGCGTTCGCTCGTTTTCACACGAACACTTCTCCTTTACTTTTGCTGTGCTTTCACTTTCTCCTTGCCGAAAGCACCTCTTGGTCGAACGCATTTGTGCTGTCTCCTCTCCTTTTTCCGTCCGACCCCTACTGGTGGTTTTGTTGTTACATTACAAAAAAAAACCAACAACACTGTATATGTAATGTATATGGAAGGGACAGGAGAGGGGGTCTTGCTGCTTTCACATCTGGGTTCTCTTTAAAAAAAAAATAAAAAAAAAAAAAATATATATATATATATATATATATATATATATACACTAACGCTGGTTGTCAGTCTGTCTCTTAAAGGGACAGTTTCACAAAATGAAAATACAATTTTTTTATATTATGACGTTCATTAGACTTAAGCCAGCAAACCTTAGGGTGGTTTTCTGATTTCTGAAGTTGGGGTCTTCCTGTCTAGGTTCAGGTTTCCTCTTGCCTCCGTGGCCTTGTCTAATCTGTTTCTTTTTCAGGTTTCAGTCTGGCCAGGCTGCTTTTTGCCCTCCTTGTCTCTCGTGCTGCTCTACCTCCAGGAAGGTACGTTTTTATTGTTCTGTGTTTTTCTTTTCTGTCTTTGGGTCCACGCTCTGACCCATACGGGCCCCAGGACCAATACACGTTTCTGTTTCCTATTTCCTTGCTCCCTCTGAACGGCCTGACCACCTGGTTTCTGACGTACTTACTCTGCACTCCAGATACGGTCTGCCTTACGTTGCTGCCTCATACCTCCCCTACGTTTTTGTTACATGT